GAAAGATCTAAGATGTACACTAAACACTAATAATGTAAAACAATATGGTGTAACAACAGCAGTCTGAACAAGAGTCTGTGGTGAGCAGATGGGTTCGAATGAAAAAAGCAGCATGAGATAATCAGCAGCATGAGATAATCAGCAGCATGAGATCAGCAGCATGGACAATTCAATTCAAATCAGTTTATTTATATAGCGCTAAGTCACGACAGAATTCGTCTCAGGGCACTGAACACAAACATTCATACTGTATATACAAAATAATAAGTTAACACTATTTATATGAGGAGCAGACTGCTTTGAATTTAACTCCATCGCAGAACTTTCATGTTGCGCAAGCATGAAAGCAACAGTGGAAAGAAAAAACTCCCTCGTGAGGATAATCAGCAGCACAGATAAGTCACATATCACCAATTAAAGTGGCATTAGAGTGATCTTTTTTTAATCTTACAGTGATTATCCTGGTTAAGGATTTATGAGTCTAACAGCTTCAGGGTAGAAGCTGTTCCTCAGTCTAGTGGTTCTACCCTTAATGCTCTGCAACCTCCTGCCTGAGGGGAGCGGGGCAAAAAGTGTGTGTACTTGAGAGTGCTTTAACTTTTATAATTTTTATACTACCTTTATTTAAAATAATAAAAGCAATTTTGATTACAATATGGTAAGGACAAGCTTGTGGACTTCTGGATATTTTAAGACATTTTTACTTTTATCAGCCAATTTGTTGACTAAAACAATCGAATCAAGTAACAGGCAAACCCTGAAATTATTTAAAGAAGCATTATTTTTAAGAGGCTTCAAGTCTAAAGTCAACACAAAGACAAATATTTTCATCATTTTTTTTTACTTTCTTAACCAATAAAAGACCAGAAGTTTTGTAACAGTCACTCAGTCTTGCAATAATTTTGTTAATCATTTATAAACTGCCCGTTTCAAAAACCTTTGCCAGTTCATTAGGTAGATTGCTTCTCTTTGCCTAGACGGTGTTTGCAGTGAAACAGAAGTGTTAAAATAGCATGGCATGAAAATAAACGAGCACTCGAACTCTATCATGTGCTTGCACTAATCGGTGTTATTCCTACTTACTTCCTGTCAGCACAAGTCAGTGCACCACATAAACAACAGAAACGTGTCCGAGTACAAAGTGTAGTGACAGTGATACAGAGTGTTGACTTAGTTTAACAATTTAGCTGCAGCAAAGCTCCTGACATACTAATCAGGGAATTTGCTGCGGCAGTTTAGCGGTGATGGAACAGGGCTCATTATCAGACAAACCAGGCCACATACCTGGCATGCCTCAACATCCTCCTGAGCCTAACTCTCAACGGCCTACATCCTTCCACTCCTCTCTATGAAACAAAAATTGAACAACTGGTCTCTCAAATAAAAAGCAGCCAAAGAGGATAAGTGACTAAAGATTGGCAAAAAAATATATATATTTTTTAAAGATTGTTGTTTTTTTCCTAAATTTTTCCCTCTCAATATATGTAAATAAATGCAAAAAGATTGCGTAACAAACCTCGCTTTTCTTTTTCACGTTGCTAAAAAGATTCATGTGAAAACCAGGTGCTAATTTGTTCTGACCTGAGACCAGACCTTCCAGCTATTATCTTTTATCACAGCAGCTCTGAATACTCCATCAAAGAATCGCAGTGACAAGCTAATAGCATTCAAGGCTATTATTGCGTTTTAAATGTGCTAAAGTAACTAGAAGAATATAATGTATTCCAAGTGGGATAAAACGCGTATAAAAAGGCAGCAAAGCGTAAAAAAATGTCCTGACAATAAGGTATAACTTTAAGGGGGGCGTATAATGAAAAGTATAACTTTTTGTGCTCTAAAGATTACATTTTAGTCTGACGACACAAGGGCTGAGGATGTGCCGGCCTTTTTATTGAATGAGCTTTGCATTTACAGCAGATTGATCCAGTCTCCTCATCTTTATCTTCATCCAACTTCAACTTCAAATGATGCTGCAATCACTGTATCTAGGTATTGGGAATTCAAAACGTGTTTGCTTTTGCTTTTTGCCTTGCCTTAAAGTCTAATCAGAAGTTATATGCTTGTAATAATGAAGCAGATCTACATTTAAAGATACTTCTCAACTCTTTACTTTCTCTGGGATGAACGGTACCTGGATATAAATGTTAAGTGAAGGGGTTCATAAATCTCCACTATAAAAAAAATGGGAATTCAGCCATAAAGAAGCAACTGTCTTTTCTTTTTTTACTCAGTTGTAGAATGTCTGTTGTGTTTTTTGGAGACATCGTTCAACTAGGAGTTTCATCACGACATACACGCCCAATGCACAGTCTTTGCGATCATAAAGTTCTGGGCTGTACATCAACAATAAGTCAACCACAAAAGAACCTGAAAGACTCATACACATCACAAAATTACACATCACACCCGCCTCACTGTTACGCACATACTGAAACCACAGACCAAAAAAAATAATCCATACTAGAGTATACAATATTAAAACTCTTTACAATTTTCTAATTTTCTGAGACACTGAATTTTAGTTTTGCATTAATTGTAAGCCATATTCATCAAAATTACAAGAAATTAAGGCTTGAAATATCACATATTGTGTAAAAAATCTATATAATTAGTTTCAATTCCAGAAATGATTGACAAAAAATTTGAACTTTTTCACAGTATTCTAATCTTTTAGATGCACCTGTGAGTTAACTAAAAACGGCAAATGTGAAACAAACGTTGACTGCAGAAATGTCCTCGAAGTGACTTTGCAGTCTATACATTAATCCAACCCAGATTCTGTTTCCATTTGTCACTCCTTTAAACCTACAACATTTTATCACTTCATGCATTTGACCTTCAAATTTCTCTGCTCTCCAACTAATACAACAATCTGTCACTTCTCCCTCACTCCATCATCAGGGACATCATCATCTAGTACTGTAGCGGTTGATTAGTGTCCTCCAAAAAAAGCTGAAAAATCTTCATCAGTCATGGAGATACAGGCAATTGCACCTCAAGTTCGTCAAACCTTTGGAAATCTTCCAATAAGATTTGCAATATCAGTCAGACTTTATTTTAGTTTTCCAAAACCTCTGCCATCTTCACAGGCAGAAGAAGATTAATTTTCAAACTATTTCAGAGTTTCTGTTTGCAATCATTCTGTTATCCCTTCTTCCCACGCAGCTTCAGCTTTCTCACAATTTTATTCAAAAGGCCTCTCGGTTACGATCAGTTTTGTCCCCTTCCAGCCTCCCATGTGTAATTTTCTGTTATTGTGTCGAAAATTTAATCTGACTAAAGGTGACGCTTTGCACAAAATAAATAAAGACAGATTGAATAAACAGTTCAATGTTTATTTCTGTTCAGCTGAAGATAAGGGACTCTTATCTTTTATCCATTCATGTCCAAGCTCAGTACAACCTCTCCTTTTTCGCACCATCGCTCTTTTAATTCGTTTCCACCTAGCAGCTCCTTGGTATGTTTCATTCAACTCTCCGTCTTCTTGATCCTCTGTAATTCCCTCCTCCCCCATCACTCCAATCTGTGACTGTCTTCCTCTGTTCTTTGATTTTGTGCTTGTGATTTTGTGATTCCTTATCCATACAATAAGTGATCCTACGCACCAGCAATTCCAGTTATACCACACAAGTGGCCATATTATCCCGAGTTACCTGTTATGTGCAGATACTAAATACGTACTGCCTCTCATAACACTGAAGGCCAAACACACACACACACACACACCAGCATGTGAGGGGTCCCAATGCTCTGAGCTGTGATAAATCATCAAGCAAACAGCTCAAACTGCAAGCCTTCATGGCTGCCAACAGTCTAACAGCAGTAGCTTAGATGTCTTCAGGCAGCAGAAACTGCCACATCTACAAGCTTTATAAGCTACAACACCTCAAGGAACAAAATTAAAAAACGTTTGTCACAACAAATTTTATCAATGTATTCTTCAACATCAGTGATGGAAGGTTTTTGACCATGTATTGTTTGTTTTTTAGAATGTTTAACATGAACTTGCTGTTCTTCCTTTTATTTTTTTTCATAAGTTTATGTCATATGTGTTTTGAACAATATGTGTTTTTTGTGTCATGCACAAAAAAAAAATCATAATATTTTAATTTATTATATTTGCATAGCCTCTGATTAGGCCTGTCGCGATAAACAATAAATCAATTAATCGCATGATAAATGAAAATTATCGACCTCATTTTCATTTATCGGCTTTATCGTTTTTTCAGGTCTCTCTCTTTCTACTGAAGACACTGGATGACAAAAGGCTCAACTCTGGTGCTCTTCACTGACCCCTCCCTTTCTCTTTTCTCTGTAAAATCCTTTGCAATCATCCAAAATCGCGTTTTCGGATTGCTAAAAGCAACTGAGCTGAGAAGCTAAGCTACAAGCTAAGCTAACAGACCGACGTCAAGAAAAAACCTCTGTCTTGTCGAAGCTCCAAACTATGGTTGAAACCCGTGCCTTTGTGTAAAAAGTTGTTTTTCTCTGCAAAAAGAAGCTGCAAATTTGTTTACAGATTTTTTATTAAAAGCTTTATGTGAAAAATGCTATGCTAAAGAGCTCAAACCACACAGAGCTTCCGCCATTTTGAGAATCGAAAACAAGGAAGGAAAGACAGCCCATGTCACGTCAAGGGGTCTCCCTCTCACTTTTCTTAAAGAGACACGCTGCTCACTCCCTCACAATCCATCCTTCAGTTCAAACGTCTTATACTGCCATACGGTGGTCAAAAAGGGTACTACATGCAAAACAAATTAACCAACATTTCTTCTTAAATTTGACAATAATTATTAATTATTGTCAAATTTCAAACAATATTATCGTTTATCGCAATAATTTCTGAGACAATCGCTCAGCAAAATTTGTTATCGTGACAGGCCTACTTCTGATATGACTGCAGTCTCTGCTAACTTTATTTATATGTTAACAAATAAAACTCAGAGCAAACTGTCAAAAAAATGAAAGAAAGAAAACTAAGAAATCTAATGAGAGCTTACCCAGCAAAGCTGACATGTTCTGGAAAATTCTGAGCAGCTCTGGGGTGATGGCTGGGCTGTTCTCCAAAGTCACCAACCTACACAATGAGAGGGAGGGGACAAGGAGGGCAGGCAAAAGAGGAGAGTAAAAGCGAAAGATGAGAGGAAGGAAGCTCAAAAGGAATGATAAAACAGAAAAAGCAAAAGGTTGCCAGAAAAGAGTGCAGAAGGCATAAATTAGAGGTGGCAAAAAAGGATAGGGTGAGAAATACAACAGAACAAATTACAGAGGCAGAAAGAGGAACATAGGAATCACAGAGGTGAAATACATAATACATTGCAAAGAAGGTGTTAAAAAATAATAAAAAGAACAAGTAATTTTAGTTTTCTGCTCAAACTCAAACAGGATCTAAAAATACATGTATTTTAGAAAGAAATACCTAATGTGTATTTGCCAGAGCTGTGTTTAGTTTAAAAAAAGAGTGTTACAAAAATCAATTAGACAATTGACCACTGATGGAATTCACTGTGAAATAAAAATTTCACAAAAAACTTCTCAAGATAATAAATAATGAGCATGCTATATACAGAAATGACATGCACAAAGAGGAATAAAACAGACAAAAATAAATGCAGGAAACAATGACACAAATTTTGTAAATAAAGGGAGCGCATGCAGGGTACTGCTATTTATCAGGCAGCATATAAAATCTACAATAAGATACAGCACTGATTTAGGGGCAAAATAAAAGATAATGTGGTCAAATTATCTTTAAACAAACACGTTTTGTTATGATTTTTGAAATGGAATGCAGTTTTTTTCTGTAAAAAGTTACTGAAGTGGCTAAAAATATCTCATTCCCAAAATAAAAAGATAAAACCAAAATTGTGAGCTATATAAATATCAAGCAATTAGTTGCACACGAGGAGTTTCTGGCTGTGAAAAGCCAATTTAGACAAGATGCAACAGTGAGCTCATTAAGCACTGCTTTTCCACAAAATGTTTGCATCTGGCTTTCAAATATGGAATTGACACAAGTCAGGTAGTAAATGAGGCTGATACGACAAAAGGTGGTTTCATTAACAAATAGTATCAAAGAGAAAAGGTAACAGAGAAAGACAGCTACAGCCATAGTATTCATATGTATGCATGTAAGTAAGGGATGGAATGAAATCGCTAAGTGCTTCATAAATTTCTGCCTCAGGGAGTTTTTTTTTCCTCTGTAACTCATGAATGTGCACTGCATGCTGATCCATACCAAAGCTCCAGTCCATCCTCTAGTAAATAGACGTGTGGTGGTTGAGACACATCAGTGCTCAGCTGAATGACAGGAAGAAGGAAAGGGTAAAGGTTCTTACTCTCTGCCCCAAGGCCCTGAAAGAATAAAAAGATGCAAGAAAGTCAACGCCACTAAATGCCAACATGACAAGAGAGCAGACAGGAAAGTTCAAAACTGTACATTTTCTTCGTGCTTTGTGCATTATTGAGGTTCTTTTGAGATCATCTGAACAGAGCAGTACAGAGGGACGTATTTATTAAAAAAATAAGGTATTTGTACAACAGCTCTGCCATATTGTTTCCCAGCACATGGGGTCATCTTTGACTGTGCATAGCAATTTATTTTTCAGATAGAAAACAAGGAACAGAAACAGAAACTTCCATATTACAAAGCATGAGCATCTGTTCCTATTTATAAGGTGCCAATAAAATTTGGTATTTATATCCAAAGTCTTTAATTTTCCTGCTAAATGTTTGCTTTAAGCAGCAAGGGTTATTTAGTTATAATGTGTTAATTTTATGGGCCCTTTTAAACCACCTTTTTAAAACAGTTTGAACCCATTAAGTTTGATTACTTAAGGGGGAAAAACACTGGGGCATAACTGCAGGAATTAAGTCACAGCTCATTTCTTGGTCATTTAGATGACATCATTTAAGATGATAAGTGTGTGAGTAGAAAATGGCATAATTTTCCTCCAGGAATGGTTCCCAGGCATAGTTTAAATTTGAAAGCACTTGTTTTACAGAAACATGTAAAGATTTAAGGAGAAGTAGTTAATTCTAAAACTGTAAATAGAGAAAACTGAATAACAAAATTCTAGTGTTAACAAATGCATCTTTTCTTTGATCCAACAATATATTTTAGGGATGCACGATATTATCGGCAAAGTATTAGCATGGTATCAGCCGATATAAGTGATAAAGGTAAATATCGGACAATGGCCATTCCATCAAAATAACTCACCGATATAAAAAGCACTGTTCAGATATATATATATATATATAAAGGGTGTAGTGGGTGTACTGAACCGTTTCGGTATGGCACATTTGGTCAGTCCACGTGTGTACTGTTTCGGTTATTTTTTCACTCATTAAATTTTATCAAATAGAGATTATGCGCCGCGGAACTAAAATTCCTAAGCGTGTTTCAGCACGGTGCTATTATCTTGCAGCATGCGTAGCATTAGCAGCCTAGCATCTCATTGTGGTCTCCCGTTGGGGAACATTATGGCTTTCTTGTTAAAAGACAAATGTAAATCCAAAGCTGTGTCGATGTTGTTTCACGGACACTGGCTCTGCAGCAGGCAACGTGTCTAACTTGTTAACGCGCTTGAAATGACATCATCCGAACATGAACGTCTCTTCTACATGCAAGAAACGCAGCTTGGTGCAAAGACCGAAAGCAGCAGTAGCATTTAAACAACCTTTATCAGGTAATTCAGATCAGTCCAGAGCAATAACACAAGCTGTAGGAGTTTTTAAAACTCTGGATCTATGTTTCTGTTTTTGATGTGCCGGCTTTAAAGTTATTGATGCCCGCTACGACATCCATCACGTCAACACTTCAGTCAAAAAGTTCTAGCAGCACTTTATGAAAAAGCTAAAACTGGTATTGTGAACAAGCCCTGGATCAAATTAAAGCCCTGTCCTGATGATGATGATGATGACCCAGAGATTCAACCACCTCATAACAACCGTTCAAGAAGAGGTATTGTTATTTTATTATTATCTAATTAATTTTTTTTTTTTTTTTTTTTTTTATATAACCTTATTAACTCATTTTTTTTTTTTTACCTCTTTGTGTTTTATTTCCAGTCTGGGACAAAGATAGCAGCTGAGTCTTCCTCGTCAGAGAAATCCACCAGAGATCACCTCCAGCTAAGAAGTCTGTGATGAGTGAACTCTGAACTTTTCCAGGGACCTGTCCCACCTGTGGGAGCAGGTCCAAGAGGTTGTGAGTAATGAGGCCAAATACAGCCACACTGCAAAATTAGCAAAGCTTTACCTCTCTATTCCTGCTACTGTTGCTAGTGAGCGGTTTACTCCACCGCTGGAGATATTCACTGCAACTTTTGGCAGAAAATGTGGACAAGTTTGTCTTTTTGGCCAAAAACTTAAAACTTGATTAGTTAGATTATAAACGGTCTGTTGCTGCTTATTGTTCTGGTTCTGACTGTTATTGTATTTATTAAGATTTTCATTACTGTTAGTATAGTTTATTTATTGTGCCGTTTATTTAAAATACCATCCAAATGGGTCACGCTTATTTATTTTTATACAAACGTATTGTTTACTTGGCATATTTTCAAAATAAACGTTTTGTAAGTCTTCATTTTGTCTTTTTTTTGGACCGAAAATTAACCGAACCGAGCCCTACTTGAAAATGAACCGAACCAAAATGTGATTTTAGCGTACCGTTACACCCC